ATCAGGGAAATGCAAATTAAAACCACATGAGATATCACCTCACACCTGTTATAAAATAGATAAGTGTTGACGAGAATATGGAGAAAAGGGAACCCTTGTGCACTGTTGGTGGGAATGTATATTATTGGAGCACTTTTGGAAGACAGTACAGTCGTGTACCACTTAAGGATGGGTATATATTCTGAAAAATGCATTGTAGGGAATTTTGTTGTTATGCAAACATCATAGGGTACATTTAAACAAACATAGATGGTGTAGCCTACCACACACCTAGGTTATACAGTATAGCCTATTGCTCCTAGGCTACAAACCTATACAGCATGTTTCTGACTGAATACTGTAGGTAATTATAAACAATGGTAAATATTTGTGTATCTAAATATATATATAAACAGAAAAGGTACAGTGAAAACACAGAACGAAAGATTAAAACATGATACACTGGTGTAGGGCACTCACAATTAATGGAGCTTGCAGCTCTGGAAGCTGTTCTGGGTGACTCAGTGAGTGAGTGGTTAGTGAGTGTAAAGGCCTAGGATATTTCTGTACACTACTGTGAATTTTTAAATGCTACACTTTGGCTACACTAAATTTATATTTTAAAAAAGTGAGATAAAATCAATCATAAGAGAAAATAATGCAATCAAGAGATGCAGTAAACACAAGGTGTATGAGGCTGCTGCTAGTGTAACATGGCACACTGTTTTACAGCAAGCTTTGTTTAAAAATTCATTTTCTTTGAGAGAGAGAGAAACATCCATTTATTGTTCCACTTATTTCTGCATTCATTGGTTGCTTCTTGTATGTGCCCTGACGTGGGATCTGAACTGGCAACGTTGGTTTATCAAGTCCATGCCCTAATCACCTGAACTACCTGGCCAGGGCACAAGCTTTTTTTTTAAATAAGTACAAAGAGTACACTCTAAAATAACAATTAAAAGTATAGCTGTGCAAATATATAAACCAGTAACAGAGTTCATTATTATCAAGTATCATGCATTGTACATGTTTTTATGTGTTCTACTTTTATATGACTATCAGCACAGTAGGCTTATTTACACCAGCATGACTACAAACACAGGAGTATTGCATTGTGTTACAATGTTACAGTATTTACTACTGTCATCACTAGGTGATAGAAAATGTTCAGCTCCATTATAATCTTATGAGACCACACTCATATATGTGGTTCATTGTTGACCAAAACATTATTATGCCCTGCATGACTTTAAAGAGATTACTGAAAAAGTTAAAAATAGAACTCCATAACTATTCATCAATTCCACTTCTAGAGTATACTTCCAGAGAGAAAATCACTGTTTCAAAGAAATGTCTGGACCACTATGATCATAGCCTATTATTTACAACTAGAAGCCCAGTGCATGAAATTTGTGCACAGGAATGGTGTCCCTCAGCCCAGCCTGCACCCTTTCCAATCTGGGACCCCTTAAGGGATGTCTATCTGCTTATTTAGGCCTGATCCCTGCAGAATTGGGCTTAAACCGGCAGTTGGACATCCCTCTTGCAATCTGGGACCGCTGGCTCCTAACCGCTCACCTGTCTGCCTGCCTGATCACCCCTAACTGCCTCTGCCTGCTGGCCTGATTGCCCCCTAACTGCTTTCCCCCGCCGGCCTGATCACCCCTAACTTCTCTCTCCTGCTGGCCTGATCGCCCCTAACAGCCTCTGCCTCAACTGCTGCCACCGTGGCTATGTCCAGAAGAACGTCCAGAAGACATCTGGTCTAATTAGCATATTACCCTTTTAGTAGTATAGATAGCCAAGACATGGAAACAACTCAACTGTCCAATGATGGGTGAATAGATAATGAAAATGTGGTTTATATATGCAATGAGATATTCAGCTATAAAAAAAGAAAATCCTATCATTTGCAACAACATGGATGGAACTTCAGGGCATTATGCTAAGTGAAATAAATTTGACAGAGAAAGAAAATACCATATGATTTCACTTATTTGTGGAAGCTTCAAAAAAAAAGAAACATAAAAACAAAACAAATACACATCAAATTCATAGATACAGAGAACAGAATGGTATTTGCCAAAAGTGGGAGTAGGGGATGGACAAAATGGGTGAAGGGAGTCAAAATGTACAAACTTCCAGTTATAAAATAAATAAGTTATGGGAATATAATGTACAGCATGGTTACTAGTTAATAATACTGTATTGCATATTTTAAAGTTGCTAAGAGAGTAAATCTTAAAAGTTCTCATCCCAAGGGAAAAACTTGTAACTATGTGTGGTAATGAATGTTAACTAGACTTATTTTCGTGATCATTTTTTTGCAATATATACAAACTAGAGGCCCGATGCATGAATTTCATGCAAGAGTAGCCCTCCCTTCCCCTGGATGCTGGCACCGTCTTCCCTCTTGCACCTGGGACTCGGGCTTCTCTTGTAGCCCCGGCTTCGTCTGGAAGGTCATCTGGAAGGACGCTTTTATTATTATAGATATCTAATCATTATGCTGTATTCCTGACATTAATATATGTCAATTATATCTCGATTTAAAAATAAATAATTTAATCTCTTTCTCATCCCTTATAACACTCTCACTAATTAGCCATCAGCTTGTTTTAATTTTACCTGATAAACAATGAATACTAATTGAACAGATTTTATCTTCTAAAAATCTTTTTGGTTAACTAATATAGTCCTTTTAGTAGTAGCCCTGTTTGAGATGGGATAAATAAGTGTAGGTACAAAGAAACTTAATTACTTTTTATAGTCACACATGTAAGCAGAAATTGTTTTTCCAGAGCCTGTTCTTCTGAGTGTGTTACTATGTATTCCCATCTGCATTATTTTTCTAGTTCATAAGCTACTTCAGTAGTACATGCTTTTCCCACATGTTTCCTGGAGTGATGCAGTAGCCTACAGTCTAACATTTGTCCACTCTAGGTCCACATTTGTCCATATATTTTATATAAAACTAGAGGCCTGGTGCACGAATTCATGCACAAGTGGGGTCCCTCAATCTGGCCTGCAGGATCGGGCTGAAACCGGCTGTCTAACATCCCCTGAGGGGTCCCAGATTACAAGAGGGTGCAGGCGAGGCTGAGGGACCCCACACATGCACTATCGGGGCCAGGGAGGGACGTGGGAGGTTGGACAGCTGGGGAGGGACCATGGGAGAGCTCCAGGGCAGGTCAGTCCTGTCTCACTCAGTTCTGATCAGCCAGACCCCAGCAGCAAGCTAACCTACTGGTCGGAGAGTCTGCCCCCTGGTGGTCAGTGCACGTCATAGTGAGCAATTGAGTGGCCTTAGCATATCATTAGCATATTATGCTTTGATTGGTTGAATGTACGACAGGACACTTAACATATTAGGCTTTTATTATATAGGATGAAATCTAGTCATAAAACATCCCTTCAGATTGTTCCCAGTTACTTCTAAGATACAAATCAAGATGCTTAGCATGACATACAAGATGCTTTGAAAAGCATCTTGTATGTCATACTAGATCCAGAGACACAGAAGTATCGAACAGACTGTTAAACCTCAGAAGAAAGGCAGGAGAGGGTGGATGGATGGGAAGAGATCAAACAATTAACTTGTATGCATATAAGAATAACCAATGGACACAGACAATAAGGGGATAAAGGCCTGGCCTAGTGGTGGGGACATGCTGGGAGAGGTCAATGGGGAAAAGGGGGACATATGTAATACTTTCAACAATAAAGAATTTTAAAAAAGGAAAATATTTATGTAACCCATTCATTCTTGACATCTTCCAAGTTTTTTATCCCATACCTCTGCACCTTATACTTTGACCTTCCTAAATACTGACTCGTCAATAATACCCACCACACACGTGCTATTTCTAGATTCCACAATATTGGGCACACTGTTTCTTTCCCCACACACTTCATTTTCAGGAAAATTCATGTTTACTATTTAAAAATTTCCTTTTGTATCGTCTCAACTCTGAAGTTTTTCAGAGTACCTCTCTGTCCTGTCATATACTGCCTATCTCCTTTATACCGTTTCTGTTCTTTATATATATTTTCATTATCCACGCCATTCATATTGTAAATATTCCCTTTCATGTCTAACTAGAGGCCCAATGCATGAAGACTCGTGCAAGAATAGGCCTTCATTCCCCTGGCTGCTGGCACCACCTTTGATCTGGCCCGGAGCTGCCTTTACACCTTCGCTCCTGGCCTGAGCCGCCTTTTCGCCTTTTCTCCGGCTCGGAGACCCCTTTCCACCTTTGATCTGGCCCAGAGTCACCTTCCGACTTCACGCGCTGCCCAGAGGCCTGGAGTGGCCAGGGTGAAGAGGAATGCCTGAGTCGTTGCCATGTTGACGATGCAAGCATCCCAGCCGGGCCTCCGCCATCTTTGTTGCATCAATTTGCATATTCCCTCCTTATTGGTTGTGGGTGCCACAATCTTTGTCATGAAGTGATGGTCAATTTGCATATTCCAACTTTATTAGATAGGGTTTCTATGTCTGACTGTGAAATCCTTGAAGCTAGAAACTTCATCTTAGTCTTTGTTGTACCTCCCTATCCAAGAGAGTGCCTGATAAAGAGTAGGAAGGCTATGAGCAATGATCAGAGATTATTCATATACATGTGTGTTCTAAACACACACACAGACACAAAGGTCTCTTTAATAATGGGCTTGTAGAAAGCTTAATCTCTTTCAGCTCCCCCCGGCCCCCCTTCCCCCACACACCACTGAAGTTTCTAGGTGAATTCTATTTTCAATGCAATATGTAAATGGGAATCAAGTCCTAAATTAAAAATTGTATTTGTCTCGGTATGTTATGCATAAAAATATGTAATTGGTATCTTCAAGTACATAAAATTAGAAAACAGCCAAATATAGTTCCAAAGCATATTGAATTTTATGTCCTTTACTGTTAACAAATGGTAATAAGAGATAGTTATCAATATGTATGACTAAAAATTATCATAGGAAACAAAAAAGAGCTCTGTTTGTTTTAATTTAAATAATACAAACAAAGTTACTTACCCAAAGCTTCACTATAATAGGAATCCCATGATTTCCAAAGAGTATCAAACATGTAGTCCTGTAGATGGTAGGAGATGAAATTTCTTATTCTGTCAGTAAAAGACATCTGGTCAGTGAGTTCTGATAAAACAGCAGGAACATAGGAAGGAGGGTATGGTATCTTCCCACAGTGTTTTTCCACTGTTGATGCTGGAGAAAACTTCAAGGTGTACACAAATGGAATTCCAAGTTTTAAAGCTACTATATCACCACAAGGAAATAATGGATCCGATACCAGGACATCAAATTTGCTTTTCTTCAGCTTTTCCAGCAGCTTTTGGTTTTTGAGAACACCATCACAGATTTCTCTACTCAGCATGTGGAAGTCCTCGACGGCTATGCCAATCTCCTGATAGAATCTCCAAATGGTTGAAGGAGTTGGTTTATTTCCCATCCATGTCAAAATAAACTTCTTGATCGTTTCTTCCACTTTTTCTTTCTCAAAGGGCACCTTATATATTTCATATGTCAGAGATGGGTTAGAGGTGGGCTTGATGTAGAGTGCACCAGAAGCAACTAGGACAGTCACATTATGCTGTTTGTTAATCAGCTCATCTATAATTATCTTAACATTTAGCCAATGACTACCTTCCATTGGCCAAATCAGAACATTCCCACCAAGAGTGACTCCCAGGAGACTTATCTGAAGAGACAACAGCAGAATGGATTTTTCTAACATGATGTGGCTTGACATAGAAAATTTGATGAGATGTGACACAGACAAATTTCTCTGCGTTTAAAACAAAAAGGAAAGACAAATTATTTTTCAGCTTGATTCAAACCAGTGATACCCTTAAGAGCATTCTCTCTACCAACTGTTACTAGTCATGGTAGCTTCATATTTTATGATAATTACAGGTTTAGGGGCAACGTGTGTTGTACCTGTCAACTTGTTGCTTTAGCTTATGATTCTTTTTCTTAAACTTAATCTTTCAACCCTTTCTTTGCATCTCATAATTGTTAAATTCTTACTATATTTGATTTCTTGAAGCCACTGTATATCTGAACTCTACACTCAGACCTGGAAACTGATACTTCAGATGTGACATTAAATGTAGAGATGCAAACCTTATAGTTAGCTTAGAACATAGAGATGCTAATTCTATAGGTTTTACAATATTTAATACATTTTATATAGTAACATTAGCAAAAATTATTATTTTTTAAATATATCTTTATTGTTGAAAGTATTACAGATGTTCCCTTTTCCTCCTATTAACCCCCTCCCATCTACTCCTGCCCCTTTCCCCCAGGCCTACCACACTATTGCCTGTGTCTATGGGTTATGCATAAATGCATATAAGTTCTTTGGTTAATTTCTCCCCCCTTCCCCACCTCTCTCCCCCTGAGTCCCGTGGCCCTTCCCTCTGACATTTGTTAGTCTATTCCATGCTTCCATGTCTCTGGATCTATTTTATTCATCAATTTATTTTGTTCATGTATTTCACATATAAGTGACATGATGTGATAGCTGTCTTTCTCTGATTGGCTTATTTTGCTTAGTATAATACTCTCCAGATCCTATTATTGTAGTTACCAGTTATTAATAGACTAGAGGCCCAGTGCAAAAATTCATTCACTGGAGGGGGAATCCTACAGCCTGGCCTGCCCCCTCTCTTAGTCTTGGAGCCCTCAGGGGCAGGAGGCAACCTGGTGATCAGGAGAAGGTGACGCCCATCACACCTCTGCTGCTGCCACTTCCAGCAACATAAGCCTCAGCCGGCCCTGGTTACCTGAGCCTCAGGTGGCCCTGGGCGGCTGGGTAGCCGCCATCCGAGGCTTGCCTGTGCCTCGGGCCAGCCCTGGGCAGCTGGGGGGCTGAGGGGACTGGGCGCCACCATCTTTGAGGGCATGGCAATCAATTAGCATATTCCCTCCTTATTGGTGGTGGACGTTGCCATCTTTGAGAGCAGGGCAGTCAAGTTGCATATTCCCTCCTTATTGGTGGTGTACGCCGCCATCTTTGAGAGCAGGGAAGTCAATTATCATATTCCCTCCTTATTGGCTGTGGGTGCCACCATCTTTGAGAGGGCATGGTAGTCAATTAGCATAGTCCCTCTTTATTAGATAGGATAAGATTATTACAAAGAGAAGATTTAAAATGTGAAGTACAAACACAATCTATACTAATAATAGACAAATATGTAAATTGACCACCCCTTTGTGACGACCACAGCCAATCAGGAGAGAGTATGCAAATTAACCTGACAAAGATGGCGGGCCTGTGGGCAATGCACACGTGCGCAGGCATGGAGTGGCCAGGGTTAGGCGTTCCCGCCCCCAGCCGCTCTAAGCCTACACTGCAGGTACCGACGGCCTCGGTCCCAGGGACGCCAATGAAGTGTCTGGTCCTGTCAGCCCAGCCTGGGGGAGGCTGAAGTTCCCACTCCTTTTCATTTCTGCAGCCCCTGGACCGGAAGCGAAAACCAAGAGCGCGGGGAGCACCAGCAGTTCTGGGAATTGTAGTTCTGGTGGAAGCCCCTGGAATGGAAGCGGAAGCCCAGAGCGCGGGGAGCATCAGGAATGCTGGGAATCATGGTTCTGGTGGCAATTGCATTGCGTGATCTCCTAGACACTAGAGAAAGTGAGCGTGGAGCAAGTTACTGTTACGGGTGGGGGATGGAGGGAAAGCATAGGTGAGAGACATAAGTAAAGTCAAAGTGTTGAGGAAAAATTAAAAGGAAGATATCCTGCAACTTCTAGGAAATCTTCACCAATGGAGCAAAGAAAACAAAAAGACCTCTACTATTCTGTGAGCACAAAACCAAACTCTGTTGGGGTCTCAGACAATTTGCTCATATGATTGCAATGACAGACAGAAACTCCCGGATTGGAGAGGGCTCCCCTGAGGGCTCCCAGATTGGAGAGGGTGCAGCTCGGGCTGAAGGACCTACCCTTCCGTGCACGAATTTCATGCATCATGCCCCTAGTAAGTATAATATTTATTACTACTTTATCTTAATAAATCACTGAGAAAAAATGGCATATAAGTAAATAAACTGTGTATGAGTTCATATGCCTGAGATGATGGGTAATGTTACTGGTAAATAAGAGCTTTTAGAAGAGACTTGCTAAGTCAAGCATGTTTCTGTGGGAAGTGCTGCTCAAAAAGCCAGCTAGCCTGTGTGAATAACAACAACTTTACATTTAGACTCAGCCTTTCATAGTTGCTAACATTTGTTAACTGCTCACTACCTATCAGACATTGTGTAATGTGTTGTACATATGTTAATGTCATTTACTTTGCACTTAAAAAAAGATCCAATAAGTTACAAACGATAATTATTTTCACATCAAAGAAGAAAATATTGGTCAGAAAAGCTGAGTAACTTGGTAAGTTCATAGAACAAAATAAGAAAGGAACTGATGGTAGCTGCCTTAAGGCTCTTTGGCTCCAAAGCCTATTGTGTTGAGAAAATTGATACAAATGTAGCCATTTCAAAAACAGAGCCCGCATCCCTTGCACATCTTGCTCCTTGTACATTTCAAATGATTGAACTGAGCAAAATAACCTTTGGACTTGAGCCAAACCAACATTGTCTTGAAAAGAATTGTTTGTAAAGTTAGTAGGAAAGCAGACCTCCTCACCACAAGCACTGATAATTTTGACATTTTTAATCAGCAACAAGCCATGTATAGTTAAAAAGTAACTTAGCTTTTTAGCATCAATATAAATTCCTCTATTCTATCTATGTAATTATTTCCCTTCCCTTCCTCATAAAAACCCCTTTCCTTCACCCCCATAACTGGGGTACAATTTGGGTTCCTTCCTGAATTTATCCCCATGGATTTCAGTTTGTTTTGACCTCAAATAAACGCTTGTTGCCTCACTTTGGCCTTTATTTTTCAAGTTATCAGCATTCACCACCAGGACAGAGTGCCCCATTAGAGTGTATCATGTCACGTTATCAACTACAAGGCAAATCTTCGTTAGAGGTATGGTATTTGATACTCATCTGAGTTTCTTTCTATTTGCTAGATGGGATGCTGCCTAAATCATGAATTGTTGAGTAAAGCCAGTAAGACCTATAAAATTTACGTAGTTGAAGTTTGTTTTTTAACAGAAGTATCTGGACATGAGTGATAAGCAGTGTGTACAAAGGAAACTTTGTACAGTGTGTTACACAAACAAACTTTTTGATTAAAAAAAATATCTCAGTAATTGTGACTTTGAGAAAAACAACTTTGGAGAAAAAGCCACTTTGCTTTACTCAGTTACTGCTTAGGCATTTTATAGTATGACTAGATGCCCAGTGCATGAAATTAGTACACTGGGGGTGTCCCTCAGCTCGACCTGTGCCCTCTCTCACAGTCCAGGAGCCCTCGGGGGATGTCCAACTGACGGCTTAGGCCTGCTCCCCAGAGGGGAGCCATCCACCCTGCCCAACAGTCACCAATATCCTGACCTCTGAGCACTGGCCCTTACATTATCCTAATTTCAATCCTATTTGTCTGATAGACTTAGGCAGTTCAAACCCATCCCTGGTAATACAGGGCCAAGCCATCAGTCAGACATCCTTAGCACTGCCACGGATGCAGGAGAGGCTCCCACCACCACCTCTGCACATATCAGCTGTGGGCCCGTCTTTTGGCTGAACAATGCTCCCCCAGCGGAGCACACAGACCACCAGGGGGCAGCTCCTGTATTGAGCGTCTGTCCCTTGGTGGTCAGTGTGCATCATAATGACCGGTCATTTGGCCGTCGGGCTGAAACTGGCTCTCCGACATCCCCCAAAGTGTCATAGATTGTGAGAGGGCGCAAGCCAGGCCAGGCTGAGAGACCCCACCGGTGCACAATCAGGGCTGGTGAGGTATGTGGGAGGTTGGCCAGCCAGGAGGGACTGCAGGAGGGCTCCAGGGCATGTCTGGCCCTTTTCGCTCAGTCCCGATCAGCTGGACCCCAGCACCAAGTTAACCTACTGGTCAGTGTGTCTGCCCCCTGGTGGTCAGTGCACTTCATAGTGACTGGTCAACCAGTCGACTGTCTGATCCCTGGTGGTCAGTGCATGTCATAGCAAGCGGTTGAGCTTTGCATATCATTAGCATATTATGCTTTGATCGGTTGAACGGACGACCAGATTACTGGACACTTAGCATATTAGGCTTTTATTATAAAGGAGTAGATGCCCAATGCACAAAAATGTGTGCACTCAGGTGAGGGGGTTCCCTCAGCCTGGCCTGTGCCCTCTCGCAGTCTGGGACCCCTAGAGGGATGACCACCTGCTGGCTTAGGCCTGCTCCCCGGGGATTGGGTCTAAGCTGGCAGTCAGACATCCCTCTGGCAGCCTGGGAGCCCTCGGGGGATGTCCACTTGCTAGCGGGGAGCAGGCCTAAGCTGCAGTCGGACATCCTTAGTGCTGCTGAGGAGGTGGGAGAGGCTCCCGCCACCACCGCTAGCCGTCAGCGGTTTGTGGCTGAACAGAGCTCCCTGTGTGGGAGTGCACTGACCACCAGGGGGCAGCTCCTGCACTGAGCGTCTGCCCCCTGGTAGTCAGTGTGTGTCTAGTGACCAGTCATTCCCAGTTGTCCTGATGTTAGGGTCAATTTGCATATTACCCTTTTATTATGTAGGATAGAGGCCTGGTGCATGGGTGGGGCCGGCTAGTTTGCCCTGAGGATGTCTCAGATCACGGTGGGCATCCTGCTAGGGTGCCTGGCCAGGCTGGGTGAGGGGCTGAGGGCCGTTTTCAGACTGGTCCCCCCCCCTTCAGGGTGGGGGTCCCTGCTGGA